GAGAGTAGGGAACCCAGAGCTTACATGCTTCTCTTTAGATGGTCTGAAGATGGTACAGAACAGGTCAGATGAAGATATCGCAGGTTGTTTAGCTTGCCAGCGAACCTCATGCTAAGCTAAAAAAATGAACCTCATGCTGCCAAAATAGAAGGCATACTCTCAGTTCACAAATAAATGCAAAAAGAGTAAGTGACCGAGCACTGCCAACTTGTGTCTCACTGGCCGCGATTTGATGCGCTTCAGGCTGGCTCCCTTGTGCGAGCGAGAGAAGCAAAACTCTGATGAGCCGGTGACGAATGGATCTATGGTTGCCGGCTCGCTCGGGAGAAGCTGGCGATCGAATCCCGGCGATGGAGTTGAGGATTTGGCGGCCATAGAGGTCTAGCGAGCATGCCCTCTGTCTTGCAGTTACATACCCATTCCCAACACCACCCATTCCCATTCCAGTCATTCCCTTTTGTGATGCTAGTATCAGCATTACCGTGACCACCACAAATCCACGATGATCACTTCAGTCGAACCCTCATTCTCTTGTGACTCAAACCTAGGCTGCCATACTACTCTGGAATCTAGATGGGTCATGGCTGCTAGTAGTGCTAGACAAGTGACCAGGAGAGTATCTTGCATATATATAGGTTAGCCAACCTAGTGCTCCTATTTGGTTTCACTAGAGAACTTAAATATTGTATTGCTTCATTACACACATCGATGTCTTTGTACTTCGTTTCGTTCAGTTGTATAAATCGTCGTCAGAAAAGGACATACACCAACCTCCAACACAATATAACCACACCTGTCTCTAACAGTGCTGCTAGTAATTTTCTTTAAAAGGACCAAGAGCTACTTATGGATTGAAGTGCTAAGCAACTTTGTTTGTAGATTCTAACCGGTATATTTGCTTCAAATAGCTCCTCACTGATCGAACTTCAGGATATTACAATGATGGGCACTCTCTTGTGCAATCACCAATATGTGGATCATAAGCACATGGTCAACTTAAGGTTTATTGACAGTCGGACACGGTATTAAAGAGAAGAATGGAGGAGGGGATGCAGTTTTCAGAGATCAAATAGGAAATGTGTTGGCATGTGCAGTAGGCTATTTGCCTAATCTGCAAAGATGCTGGCGGCTGAAGCTGCGCTTCAAATGAAGTGAATAGCAAAAAACTACCACATTATGAGTTATCATTCCAAAAAAACTATTGTTTTTTTAATCTTTTCAAAAAACTACCACAAAATTGTTCAAAAAACTACCATGTCGCACTGATGACTACTTTGGTTAACTTTAAACGTTATTATAACAGCTCGGGTCCACTTATCAGGTTGACCGTTAGTTTGACCATTGACAGGTTATGACAGATGGGGCCTAAGTATTTTTTTAGCAAAAATGTCCCTGAAACAAAATATAAAAGCAATCGGGTCCCTGAAAAAAAAAAAGCAATCCCGTCCTCCCGGGGAGCTCGTCGCCGGAGCCGGCCAGCACCACGCCGCCGAGCTCGTCAGGGGTGTCCAGCTCTGGCCGTGGCCGGCGGGAAGCAGCAGCTGTGGCGGGCTGGAACCGCCCGAGCTCCCTGGCTGCTCCCCGCCCGAGCTCGAGCTCGCGGCCATGGCCGGCGGCAAGCAGCAGCTGCTCGCGTCTGGCGCCGCCCAGGCTGCTGCTCACGGGCGCTTTGGCGCCGGCTGGGCTGCTGGCCGCCGGATCCAACTCCGTAGTGCCGCTCACCCGCCCGGGCTTCTGGTCGCCGGTGCTCCCCATGGCGCGGCCTGAGCAGGCAGGCGGCGGCGCGAGCCTCCCCATGGCGCGGCCGACAGTGGTTGTGGAGCGAGCTGGAGGTGGCCAACCGTGCGCTCTTGCCTTTCCGCATCCATTGCGGCCCTAGCCGCTCCTGCTCATGCTCGTGCCGGTTGCTTCTTTCGTGCTCCGGCGGAACGACGAGTGGCCGGAGGGAGCCCGTCGTGGCGGCTGCAGCGCTGCACGCGGCTGGAGCTCGTGTTCCTGCTCCTGCTGAACGTCGCCACGGGGAGCGGCCGGAAGGAGCCCGTCGTGCCGGCTGCTGCGCGCGGCCTGAGCTGCTGGTCTCGCGGCCCATGGCGGCGGCGGCGCTGGCTGTAGTTGCTCGAGAGAGAGAGATAAGGGAAGGTCAGGGAGAGAAGAAAGAGAAGGGGAAGGAAGAGAGAGCCTGACATGTGGGACCCACATGTCATTAAACGGTCAAACGAACAATCAACAAACGGCTTATTTAGGAGCGGGCTCGATCTGTCATAAATCAGATCAATTTTAAATCATATGGTCATTTGGGTTTTTTGGAACAGCTTACCAATTTTGTAGTAGTTTTTTAAAAAATTAAAAAAAGTCATAGTTTTTTGTAGCCATAGCCTGTAATGTGGTAGTTTTTTGCTATATACTCCTTTAAATGGCTTCAGACTTGGAAATGGGAGAGTGCTTTCGAAAACCGACGTTCTTATGCTGAAAGAGTAACTTGAAGATCGAGGCATCAATTTTTCTTGCCTTGGTGCTGTGGCTGATCGCTTGAAAGCTTTCGACGATGCTGGGTTGATCCAGTTGATCGTGAGCACGATGACAAAGGATGTGCCCTTGCACGAGGTCGGTGTGGATTGGGAGGTCCACTGCCACCACTCAACCAAACTCCTCATGTATAGCCGGCAAGTAGTGGATCGGATCCAGTATAGGATCTGATGCCACAGGTTGACAAGAAGAGGCAACCGGTGAAAAGATGGCTCATGGTCTCGTCCGATGGCTCGCAAAGTAGACACCACAGATGGTGTTTCACTCCTCGTCTCGCAAGCCTCTCGTTAGTCTACCATCAATTTTGACAAGCAAGCTAAATGAAGAACTTTACCATCTTGGGGCCGCTCAACCTCCAAAATCTTGAAATTACAACTCCTTGGAATTGGAAGAGGGTGTTGTAGAAAGATCTTATTTTCATCTCATCAGGGTCAAGACTTTCAATCAAAACAATAGTGGATACAAATCAGATATCTTAAAAAAGTAAAAGAAATCAGATGTAGGAAGCTTGAGCAACAACCACCAATTGCATCATTGTTTCTTACTAATTAACTAATAGTTGAGACCTAGAACTTCAAATTCCTGTGTTTGAGCAAACTGATAGTTGGTGTCAGTTCATACCAGGCAGCCTACTTCTTTGTGTTGTAGCATCTTTATGTGTATGCAGTATGCAAATGTACTTGGAAGAAGTGTACTATCATTGTCAAGAGAAAAATGATAGGAAGAAGTGTAGCATATACAATTTGATCTATATGTACACCTACGCTCACACGTATCCAATCTCAGAAGCTATATCCGTGTACCATGTAAACAATTCTGCTAACTTGTGTATCGTTGCTATGGTGGAGCGCTAGCTACCACTGGTGCTGCTCCGGCGAGGAGGGTCTGTAATCACATGTATCGGCCATTTAGATTGATTCTAAGGGGGAAAACTGAACATGTATTGGTCCTTGTCTTCCCGTATGCTAAGCCATTTGTCTTGAAGAAATTATTACTAGCGCTGCTAGAGGCATGTGTGGCTGCATTGCATAGGTTGGGGTATATCCTTTTCTGATAACTTTAATTTATGTCTGAACAATCCAAAGTACATAGGCAGGGATGTGTGCAACAAAATAATTATTGGCCAGTGAGGCAGTGAGCAATATATTAGAGTTCTTCTGTAAAACAAGACATGAAAGCTAAGTTTGCCTGTCTATATATATGTAGGATACTCTCCTGGTCACTTCTCCAGGCATGAGCCACCAAAATTCCATATCAGCATGACAGCCTAGGTTTGAGTCATAAGAGGAAGCAGTCCCCGCAAAA